TTTGGTGATTAGAAAACAGACCTTTCTTGGGTAGCAGTTTGACATGATATGATTAAGGTAGTTATTGCATAGGGTTAGATACATGAAAAACACATGTGTACTTTCATTTTCTTTTTCAGTATTTCATCAGTATACAAATAAGAATATAACAATAAAGATTAAAACAAACCATGATTGTTATGTCTCAAAACAGGGACTTATGTGACTAATATAATGAATCTATTGGCCAATGTTCATGTCTTTATAATTAGCTTACAGTCTGTATATTCTTATGATTCATAACAATTGTTTTTAATTAAGGTTAATGAGTACATGCTTTCTTTGTGAAATCTATACCTATACAGTATAAATCTGGAGACACTGTTTGAACCAAAATCTAATTAAACTGAAAAAGTCCTGAGGGTAAAGCCCGCAATCTTCACTATTCAGAATAATGATATGCTAACAAGGTTTGTGAAGAGATTATTTAATAAAGTTACCAATAAAATCAATTCAAGATTACCACAGAACAACATTCTAAAACCGAGAACAATATCAAGAAAACCTTGTAATGTAATTTTCTCAGAATAATAATAACCAATTTTGTTGTGCCAATGTTAATGCTAATATTCAGTCAATGCTATAACGGGACATGGCATTGGGCTGACCAACTGACTCATCAGTAGTGTAATGGTAAAGAAATTGTCTAATCATGATATATGGTCAGCAGTTATACCATCAGATGGCCTTTACTTTCCCAATTACATAGGAATTACGTCTCATTTCAAGTCTCTTGAAGCAAGACGAAAATCTGTCAAATTGTTCTATCTGAAATTGTATTTTGCCACAGGATGTATTTTGATACCCTTTTTAAGTAGAAACTGACAAACTGAATGTAATATAATTGTATTGTAACTGATACAGTGAAATTAAGCAAATGTAACTTTTAAATGACTGAACTAATTGAATTTCTTTACATCTTTTTAAGTGCATTGTGACAAATTTCATGCAACAAGTACATTTGTACATCTCAATTATTTAAGAACAGAAAAAAGAGATTTGGTATTACATCAAACTATTATTTTACATGTTACATTTGTCATAATATTGATTTTATCACTATTTTAAGGATTAAGAAATTAAATATTTTATATCTATATTGATTGTATTCAAGTTGTGTCATTAAAATTTATTTATATTTTCAAATGCTATAAATTTTCAATCTTTAGGGAATAATCAATGGAACTGTAAAGAAAACATGAATAAAAGAATTATAAAGCTGTTGTCACTGGTTGTTAACCAACACAAACCTTTGTAAAGACTTCAATTCATAAATTCTCAGGAAATAACATGTTTATGAGACAGAAACCAAAATAATAACTACATGGAAAATAATTAACAGCACAAAAAAATGATTGAAAAATTTTCTTCCCAGAAATCGATATAAAAAGAATGTCATTGATTGGATAAAGGAAACAACAAAGTTTATAGACAGTTTAAGATTTGAAATTATCTGAAATAAGATCTATGAATATGAATAAAAAAGGAAATCCAAACTACACTCAATGAGACAGCTACCCAATGATACAAATAATCAAAAGACTTATAAAAATCAACATGCAGTTATTCGTTAATGTATCAAAGATTGTGGACTTTCAAAAAATTACAAATCATGGACAGGCAAAGCATACACGAACACAATCCTCTGTTTCAATTGTACATACTGTCTCACCGATGCCATTCATGCATGTAACTTGGTGGATTTGGCAATTGTTAATATACAAATATAGGAGAAAATAAGATTGAGAGATTCAGAAGGCAGATCATATGAACAGTAAAACATATATTTCAAACAGCATGGAAGTCATGCCATGACTGTTGAGAAAACTGACCGTGAAACTGATCATATGAAACACAGTGTTTGTATGCAATTCCTATTATCAGAAATGTTCAAGAAAACTGTGTTTGTAAAGGGTTTGTCAAAATATAAGTTAAATTCAGTAACTTCACATAATATCAATTTTATTGTATAAAGCAGGGCTTGCAAAATTCACTATAAAGCCTAACAAATTGAAAACTTATTGTACACAGCTAAGATATTCGAAGAAATGCAAGGCTCTGCTAAACATTTCTAACCTGTCTATTGTCTCTTACAAAGCACTCGGGATAAGATATTTTTTATGAAAATTTTCTGGGGGTTTAAATTTGCTCAAAATAATGAAAGGTCCAAGATCATATGAATTTTCAAGTATAATGCACTCCTTAAGGAAGTCAAACTTCCTGTATAAATCATCAATGCAATGAATGGGATGTCCTTGACTTTTATATTTCAAAAGCCCCTTTTCATAAAAAAAGAAACAGATTGATGACCTCTGACCCAAACTCATTTGAACCTCAGATGTTTCATACCCTCATTTTAAGAATTTTTACTCAGAGGTAGTACACCATTTGTAGATGTACATGAAGCAATGTAAAATAAAAATCTTTTTTGATTGTTACAAGGGGATTAAGTGGACTTTTTCGTATCATATCAATAATGCTTGGCAAGCACAACTCATCATATATAGCCCTTCAGGTTTCAATATTAGAGTATTATAAATATGATAATTATTCGTTGATCATCTCAATGAGATCGATTTTCTCGCTTGAGCCGGTACGGCGAAAGTGAGAAAAGCAATCGAGTTGAGATGACCAATGATAATCAGTTTATCGCTATTTTACCTATGACATGCCCCCTTAATTTCTAGCGATAAATTTTCATATCACTCGACTCTGTTGAGAAAGGAAATTATCAGTCAGCAAGATCAAAGGAAAATTTTGTAAAATAGCGATAATAGAATATCATATGAAGTTGTGTATGAAGACATGAAAGTTATAAGGGGGAGATAATGCCACTTAAATATATGAGTGACACCTTGTAAATGCAATTTCGTTGTGCTATGAATTTCAATACTATTACACACAAAGGAAGTACACCAAAGGAAGTACACCATTGGGAGAACACCAAGGAAGTACACCTGAAAGGAAGATGATCATGCAGCAAAAATAATTGTATTTTGATGGTAACAAGCAGAGATAATTTGACTTCAAATATTCATTCAAGTGGGGCGAGTTGTATCACTTTGTGAGCATGTTCACTGTACCGGAACTTGTCCTTGGTTTTGATGGTACAGCAGCTTAAATTTTGCAAAGCTGCATCCATCATGATGTCGAAATTAAAGTTTTATTGTAACACATTGTAAACATCACCTGAACTTATACACATACTATCAGTGACTATATATTACCAAAAAATATTTTACTGTACAAATACCTCTGTTGCAGTATAAAATTGATTTATCACATAATGATAAATGTTCAATTTTTTTGCAATATTTCAAATTAAACAAGAGTGCACAAGCTGAAATGTCTTGCCTGCTTTACAGACCATTGATTTAATGTTGAAAGTCTTAAAGATAAAGGTTTTACTACAAGTATCTCATAAACTTAACATTTTTTAAGATCCATGACAATGAGGTCAAGGTCAGATAAATCCTTTCTGACAGACAATACACTTTAAAATTATTCCGTAAACTAAATATAGTTGACCTATTGCTTATAATAATTGAATAATTAACACAGAGATATGTCTCGCCTTTTTGTTATTTTGATAATGCAAATGTTGAAATTTAAATAGCATTACTTTAACATGTAAGTTATGCAAATATTCAAAGTCAATGAACCATGACGGAAGGTGTATGGCTAAACAATCCCCATGGAAAAGAGATGTGTCAATGCTAATACAACTGCATATCAAATATATTAGACTTATCATAAGTTGTTCCCTTTAAACAAACCTAAACACAAACATTAACTTGTTAACTATGTAAAAGTTTCAAACGTCAATGACCCATGATGAGGGAGTGAGGCTATATAATCTCCATGGAAATGAGACTTGCAAATGCTAATACATTCACATACCAAATATCACTGACTTAACATTAGTGGTTCATCTTTAACTGATCTAATAACAAACTAATACATGTAAACTAAGCAAAAGTTTCAAAGTCAATAGACCATGAATGAGGGGGCAGGATCAAATAATCTTGATGGAAATGAGATGAGCCAATGCTAATACAACTGCATATTAATTATCATTGACCCACCACTAGTGGTTTACCATAAACTAGACCTTATCACAAACTAATACATTGTTGACACCACCGCCGGAAACAGCATACCTATGTCTCGCTTTTTGACTCCTTCAAGGCGAGACAATGACAATATTTATACATATAAACAATGCAAATCATTCAAAGACAATGAACCATGACTGAGGGTGCAGAGTCAAATAACCTCAATGGAAATGAGAAATGCCAATGCTTATAAAACTGCTTTCCAAATACCATTGACTCATCATAAGTCGTTCCCTTTAAACAAACCTAAACACAAACTTTAACTTGTGAACTATGAAAAAGATCAAAGTCATGATGGGATGGGGTCATATAACTCCATGGAAATGCGACTTGCAAATCCCAATACATCTGTCTACCAAATATCATTGACTTAACATTAGTGGTTCATCTTAAACTCATCTAATGTAAAATATGCAAAACATTCGAAGTTAATTTACCATAACTGAGGGGTGGAGCCAAATAATCTCCATGGAAATGAGATTTCCAAATGCTAATGCATCTGCATACAAAACGTCATTGACCTACCACTAATGGTTCCCCTTAAACTGACCTAATCGCAAACTAATACATGTAAACTAGGCAAATGTTCAAAGTCAATAGACCATGACTGAGGGAGCAGGACCAAATGATCTCCATGGATTTGAGATGTGCCTATGCTTATATAACTGCATACCAAGTATCATTGACCTACCACTTGTGGTTCACCATAAACTGACCTAATCACAAACTAATACATTGTTGACGCCGCCGCCAAAAACAGCATGCCTAAGTTTTGCTTATTCAACATGAGACAAGAACTAAATGAATAACAAATAGCTGATATTATTGCTTATAACAACTAATTACCTGACAATTGATCTGAGAATCCTGTGAAGAAATATGTTCTACCACAAGTGATTGGTCCATTAGGGCACACACCATAACATACCTGCAGGATATCAAATGATAATCAACTGTCTTTCATACAAAATAGAACATTTCAGATAATTATCTAAAAGTTACATATAACAAAAAGTTGATGATTAACATAATTACTGTAAGTTCAGAAATTATTGCGTGCATTTATTATTGCGATTTTTTAAGAATGTGCAACAATTCAAGATTAATTATTGTGATTTCAGGAAAATCTGCATACAGATATATGTATCAGATATCAGAATCCAAGTTCTTATTATTGGGATAATAACCAAGTCGCATTATTCATATTAATAAAAACCTCGCAAGAATTTCTGAATTGACTGTATTCAAAAAAGAAGTTATGCCTGAACTAATTACACTGATAAGGAAAAATACAATGAAATTCTGTAAAAAAATATCAGTACATTCCATAAAATTGTGACTTCCTGCACTGTTGCTGTATGTATCTACTCCAAAGACTCTAAAAGTTACCATTTCCATTGTTTCATTACTTCTGGGAATTTGTTTAAGTAAGCTGTAACTTCTTAGCTTGCTGTTGGTGTGTTAAGATATAATATGGAAATGTTAAGACAAATTAGCAAGTTTATTAGCAATAGAAGTATACTGCATAATCATTAACATTGTTTTTTATAAAGATTTGTATGCCATTATAAATACCAGTTAAGCAAACCCAAATTTTGTAGATTTAAAATTTAGTGAATTTAACACAATGACTTACCATAAGTTTAGGGATATCACCATCAACTCCTGCTCTCATTAATGGTGTATTGACACAATGACTTACCATAAGTTTAGGGATATCACCATCAACTCCTGCTTTCATTAATGGTGTATTGACACAATGACTTACCATAAGTTTAGGGATATCACCATCAACTCCTGCTTTCATTAATGGTGTATTGACATAATGACTTACCATAAGTTTAGGGATATCACCATCAACTCCTGCTGTCATTAATGGTGTATTGACAGTTGTTTCCCCTATTCTAACTGATTCCATTACAGTTTTAACACAATGACTTACCATAAGTTTAGGGATATCACCATCAACTCCTGCTTTCATTAATGGTGTATTGACAGTTGTTTCCCCTATTCTAACTGATTCCATTACAGTTTTAACACAATGACTTACCATAAGTTTAGGGATATCACCATCAACTCCTGCTTTCACTAATGGTGTATTGACAGTTGTTTCCCCTATTCTAACTGATTCCATTACAGTTTTAACACAATGACTTACCATAAGTTAAGGGAAATCACCATCAACTCCTGCTTTCACTAATGGTGTATTGACAGTTGTTTCCCCTATTCTAACTGATTTTATTACAGTTTTAACACAATGACTTACCGTAAGTTTAGGGATATCACCATCAACTCCTGCTTTCATTAATGGTGTATTGACAGTTGTTTCCCCTATTCTAACTGATTCCATTACAGTTTTAACACAATGACTTACCATAAGTTTAGGGATATCACCATCAACTCCTGCTTTCATTAATGGTGTATTGACAGTTGTTTCCCCTATTCTAATTGATTCCATTACAGTTTTAACACAATGACTTACCATAAGTTTAGGGATATCACCATCAACTCCTGCTCTCATTAATGGTGTATTGCCATAATGACTTACCATAAGTTTAGGGATATCACCATCAACTCCTGCTTTCATTAATGGTGTATTGACACAATGACTTACCATAAGTTTATGGATATCACCATCAACTCCTGCTTTCATTAATGGTGTATTGACAGTTGTTTCCCCTATTCTAACTGATTCCATTACAGTTTTAACACAATGACTTACCGTAAGTTTAGGGATATCACCATCAACTCCTGCTTTCATTAATGGTGTATTGACAGTTGTTTCCCCTATTCTAACTGATTCCATTACAGTTTTAACACAATGACTTACCATAAGTTTAGGGATATCACCATCAACTCCTGCTTTCATTAATGGTGTATTGACAGTTGTTTCCCCTATTCTAACTGATTCCATTACAGTTTTAACACAATGACTTACCGTAAGTTTAGGGATATCACCATCAACTCCTGCTTTCATTAATGGTGTATTGACAGTTGTTTCCCCTATTCTAACTGATTCCATTACAGTTTTAACACAATGACTTACCATAAGTTTAGGGATATCACCATCAACTCTTGCTTTCACTAATGGTGTATTGACAGTTGTTTCCCCTATTCTAACTGATTCCATTACAGTTTTAACACAATGACTTACCATAAGTTTAGGGATATCACTATCAACTCCTGCTTTCACTAATAGTGTATTGACAGTTGTTTCCCCTATTCTAACTGATTCCATTACAGTTTTAACACAATGACTTTCCATAAGGTTAGGGATATCACCATCAACTCCTGCTTTCATTAATGGTGTATTGACAGTTGTTTCCCCTATTGTAACTGATTCCATTACAGTTTTAACACAATGACTTACCATAAGTTTAGGGATATCACCATCAACTCCTGCTTTCATTAATGGTGTATTGACAGTTGTTTCCCCTATTCTAACTGATTCCATTACAGTTTTAACACAATGACTTAGCATAAGTTTAGGGATATCACCATCAACTCCTGCTTTCACTAATGGTGTATTGACAGTTGTTTCCCCTATTCTAACTGATTCCATTACAGTTTTAACACAATGACTTACCATAAGTTTAGGGATATCACTATCAACTCCTGCTTTCACTAATGGTGTATTGACAGTTGTTTCCCCTATTCTAACTGATTTTATTACAGTTTTAACACAATGACTTACCGTAAGTTTAGGGATATCACCATCAACTCCTGCTTTCATTAATGGTGTATTGACAGTTGTTTCCCCTATTCTAACTGATTCCATTACAGTTTTAACACAATGACTTACCATAAGTTTAGGGATATCACCATCAACTCTTGCTTTCATTAATGGTGTATTGACAGTTGTTTCCCCTATTCTAACTGATTCCATTACAGTTTTAACACAATGACTTACCATAAGTTTAGGGATATCACCATCAACTCCTGCTCTCATTAATGGTGTATTGACATAATGACTTACCATAAGTTTAGGGATATCACCATCAACTCCTGCTTTCATTAATGGTGTATTGACACAATGACTTACCATAAGTTTAGGGATATCACCATCAACTCCTGCTTTCATTAATGGTGTATTGACAGTTGTTTCCCCTATTCTAACTGATTCCATTACAGTTTTAACACAATGACTTACCGTAAGTTTAGGGATATCACCATCAACTCCTGCTTTCATTAATGGTGTATTGACAGTTGTTTCCCCTATTCTAACTGATTCCATTACAGTTTTAACACAATGACTTAGCATAAGTTTAGGGATATCACCATCAACTCCTGCTTTCATTAATGGTGTATTGACAGTTGTTTCCCCTATTCTAACTGATTCCATTACAGTTTTAACACAATGACTTACCATAAGTTTAGGGATATCACTATCAACTCCTGCTTTCACTAATAGTGTATTGACAGTTGTTTCCCCTATTCTAACTGATTCCATTACAGTTTTAACACAATGACTTACCATAAGTTTAGGGATATCACCATCAACTCCTGCTTTCATTAATGGTGTATTGACAGTTGTTTCCCCTATTCTAACTGATTCCATTACAGTTTTAACACAATGACTTACCATAAGTTTAGGAATATCACCATCAACTCCTGCTTTCATTAATGGTGTATTGACAGTTGTTTCCCCTATTCTAACTGATTCCATTACAGTTTTAACACAATGACTTTCCATAAGGTTAGGGATATCACCATCAACTCCTGCTTTCATTAATGGTGTATTGACAGTTGTTTCCCCTATTGTAACTGATTCCATTACAGTTTTAACACAATGACTTACCATAAGTTTAGGGATATCACCATCAACTCCTGCTTTCATTAATGGTGTATTGACAGTTGTTTCCCCTATTCTAACTGATTCCATTACAGTTTTAACACAATGACTTACCATAAGTTTAGGGATATCACCATCAACTCCTGCTTTCACTAATGGTGTATTGACAGTTGTTTCCCCTATTCTAACTGATTCCATTACAGTTTTAACACAATGACTTACCATAAGTTAAGGGAAATCACCATCAACTCCTGCTTTCACTAATGGTGTATTGACAGTTGTTTCCCCTATTCTAACTGATTTTACTACAGTTTTAACACAATGACTTACCGTAAGTTTAGGGATATCACCATCAACTCCTGCTTTCATTAATGGTGTATTGACAGTTGTTTCCCCTATTCTAACTGATTCCATTACAGTTTTAACACAATGACTTACCATAAGTTTAGGGATATCACCATCAACTCCTGCTTTCATTAATGGTGTATTGACAGTTGTTTCCCCTATTCTAATTGATTCCATTACAGTTTTAACACAATGACTTACCATAAGTTTAGGGATATCACCATCAACTCCTGCTCTCATTAATGGTGTATTGCCATAATGACTTACCATAAGTTTAGGGATATCACCATCAACTCCTGCTTTCATTAATGGTGTATTGACACAATGACTTACCATAAGTTTAGGGATATCACCATCAACTCCTGCTTTCATTAATGGTGTATTGACAGTTGTTTCCCCTATTCTAACTGATTCCATTACAGTTTTAACACAATGACTTACCGTAAGTTTAGGGATATCACCATCAACTCCTGCTTTCATTAATGGTGTATTGACAGTTGTTTCCCCTATTCTAACTGATTCCATTACAGTTTTAACACAATGACTTACCATAAGTTTAGGGATATCACCATCAACTCCTGCTTTCATTAATGGTGTATTGACAGTTGTTTCCCCTATTCTAACTGATTCCATTACAGTTTTAACACAATGACTTACCGTAAGTTTAGGGATATCACCATCAACTCCTGCTTTCATTAATGGTGTATTGACAGTTGTTTCCCCTATTCTAACTGATTCCATTACAGTTTTAACACAATGACTTACCATAAGTTTAGGGATATCACCATCAACTCTTGCTTTCACTAATGGTGTATTGACAGTTGTTTCCCCTATTCTAACTGATTCCATTACAGTTTTAACACAATGACTTACCATAAGTTTAGGGATATCACCATCAACTCCTGCTTTCATTAATGGTGTATTGACAGTTGTTTCCCCTATTCTAACTGATTCCATTACAGTTTTAACACAATGACTTACCATAAGTTTAGGAATATCACCATCAACTCCTGCTTTCATTAATGGTGTATTGACAGTTGTTTCCCCTATTCTAACTGATTCCATTACAGTTTTAACACAATGACTTTCCATAAGGTTAGGGATATCACCATCAACTCCTGCTTTCATTAATGGTGTATTGACAGTTGTTTCCCCTATTGTAACTGATTCCATTACAGTTTTAACACAATGACTTACCATAAGTTTAGGGATATCACCATCAACTCCTGCTTTCATTAATGGTGTATTGACAGTTGTTTCCCCTATTCTAACTGATTCCATTACAGTTTTAACACAATGACTTAGCATAAGTTTAGGGATATCACCATCAACTCCTGCTTTCATTAATGGTGTATTGACAGTTGTTTCCCCTATTCTAACTGATTCCATTACAGTTTTAACACAATGACTTACCGTAAGTTTAGGGATATCACCATCAACTCCTGCTTTCATTAATGGTGTATTGACAGTTGTTTCCCCTATTGTAACTGATTCCATTACAGTTTTAACACAATGACTTACCATAAGTTTAGGGATATCACCATCAACTCCTGCTTTCATTAATGGTGTATTGACAGTTGTTTCCCCTATTCTGACTGATTCCATTACAAGTTTTAACACAATGACTTACCATAAGTTTAGGGATATCACCATCAACTCCTGCTTTCATTAATGGTGTATTGACAGTTGTTTCTCCTATTCTAACTGATTCCATTACAGTTTTAACACAATGACTTACCATAAGTTTAGGGATATCACCATCAACTCCTGCTTTCATTAATGGTGTATTGACAGTTGTTTCCCCTATTCTAACTGATTCCATTACAGTTTTAACACAATGACTTAGCATAAGTTTAGGGATATCACCATCAACTCCTGCTTTCATTAATGGTGTATTGACAGTTGTTTCCCCTATTCTAACTGATTCCATTACAGTTTTAACACAATGACTTACCATAAGTTTAGGGATATCACTATCAACTCCTGCTTTCACTAATAGTGTATTGACAGTTGTTTCCCCTATTCTAACTGATTCCATTACAGTTTTAACACAATGACTTACCATAAGTTTAGGAATATCACCATCAACTCCTGCTTTCATTAATGGTGTATTGACAGTTGTTTCCCCTATTCTAACTGATTCCATTACAGTTTTAACACAATGACTTACCATAAGTTTAGGGATATCACCATCAACTCCTGCTTTCATTAATGGTGTATTGACAGTTGTTTCCCCTATTGTAACTGATTCCATTACAGTTTTAACACAATGACTTACCATAAGTTTAGGGATATCACCATCAACTCCTGCTTTCATTAATGGTGTATTGACAGTTGTTTCCCCTATTCTAACTGATTCCATTACAGTTTTAACACAATGACTTACCATAAGTTTAGGGATATCACCATCAACTCCTGCTTTCATTAATGGTGTATTGACAGTTGTTTCCCCTATTGTAACTGATTCCATTACAGTTTTAACACAATGACTTACCATAAGTTTAGGGATATCACCATCAACTCCTGCTTTCATTAATGGTGTATTGACAGTTGTTTCCCCTATTCTGACTGATTCCATTACAAGTTTTAACACAATGACTTACCATAAGTTTAGGGATATCACCATCAACTCCTGCTTTCATTAATGGTGTATTGACAGTTGTTTCTCCTATTCTAACTGATTCCATTACAGTTTTAACACAATGACTTACCATAAGTTTAGGGATATCACCATCAACTCCTGCTTTCATTAATGGTGTATTGACAGTTGTTTCCCCTATTCTAACTGATTCCATTACAGTTTTAACACAATGACTTACCATAAGTTAAGGGATATCACCATCAACTCCTGCTTTCATTAATGGTGTATTGACAGTTGTTTCCCCTATTCTAACTGATTCCATTACAGTTTTAACACAATGACTTACCATAAGTTTAGGGATATCACCATCAACTCCTGCTTTCATTAATGGTGTATTGACAGTTGTTTCTCCTATTCTAACTGATTCCATTACAGTTTTCTTGGTATTGGTCCCAAACAACACAAATGGTTTAGTCTGTCTATCTCTGAAATCAAATTCACAGAAATTATTTCCCCTACTCTGAGATAAAATGTGCAAGGCAGCCATAATTTTTTAGGGCATTTAAACATGGAGTCAAGGGTATTTTATAACATTTTAAGAATTGTTTCTAGTGGTTATCCTAGATCAATTGCTATAAAGTAATGGTGTTGATTTATTGATCTTCCTCAATATGCATACAATATTCACCACTTGGTATTAAGCAAACAATGATCAAACAATGTTGTAAAAAGTCTAGTTAACCAAAACATCTACTCCCACTCTAATCCAACGTCTATGTTTTTGCTTTGTTAATTGAACAATTAAAACAAGTGAAACTGTGAGCTACTGCTCTCTGATGATACCCCTGCCGCAACTGGATAATTTTAATAGTGTAAAAATATATAAGTGTTCAGTGTTCAGAAAGTTGTTGAGTGATGAATCTGAATATGCATCACACGGTAAGGCTGACTTCTATAAACCCTAAAACCAAATTTCAGAAATCCTTATGATGTAATTCAAGAGAAAGATGCGACGAAAAATATTCATGGGATGGATGGACAGACTGACGGAAGGACGGATGGACGGACAGACAGACAGAGGTAAAACAGTATACCCCCACTTTAATTATATTCTGATTAAGAACTTAATAGATGCACAATGGCATTATGTAAGAAATATTCTATGAAAATTTCTTTGAAATAATAAGGAGTTGTTCTAAATACAAAGTGGCTTTAATGAAATTCAGATTCCTTCAGGTGTTTGTTATTCTCTGCTCTCTAGACATTATAATGTCTGGTAATGCAAATATAATGATTTCTCACCTATTTGATTTCAGACTTTTTATCGATAATTGTATACATAGCCTTGTGTTACATGTTAATAGTTAGATAGAAGTGATAACTTAACAAAGCAAGGTACAGTCATAATTCTAGAATTTGTTTTGAGTTTGATCAAAAACTAAGTATCAAACCTCTATATTAGTCAAATATATCAGTTATTACAGGTTATAGGGATCACAATAAATTATCTTTTTATGTTAGTATTTATTTGGCAAAAATATTGACAAATTTGGGAAAGTGTGATTGAGGACTTTTATAGATCTATAGATATAATTATTCCTGTCCTATGACAAATGAATAAGCAAACAAATGCAAAGAATGCTCAATACCCCAAAATTGTTAGTCAGTGCCTCAGAAATGGGAAATGAATACACCAAAAACATTTTCAAATCACTTGAACATGACAATAAATATATTTTACTCACACTGCAGTTTCACTTCCAACTTTACCGTGTTTGTAGTAACTCCTTAAAGCCTGAAATGAAATATTTACTCATAGAGAAAGGCTTTATATAGTACAACATAGCTATAAACATGATAAGAATCTTGAGAAATAATCTGGGACGTTTGCTATGAGACTAAAGTAAAATGAAAAAATAAGAAAATAGCTGGTTATAAATCTATCCTTATATCCATAAAGGGTAAGAAGTCTGACCTTTAACATTTTTATTACAACTTCATTGTTGATGGTTTTGAATTTAAGAAGTAGAAAGTTTAATAAGTTCTAGATCACCAATGAATTAATAATCATACATTTACATATATTTCAATTTTCAGAACTTTAAAGGAGGTTGAGTAAACTAAATATTTGTGTATTGGAGGCATATATATATGAATGCATACTGTAACACAAATATTGTCAGGTAAAAACATATACTTACCTTGTATGTAAGTTATCAGTGTTGCAAGATAAGTATCTAAGACACTTTTTGATGCGGTTTATTTTGTTCAATCTTTAATTTTTCTTAATAGTTAAAATCCTAAAATGCTTGAATGATAAGTTGGAAAAATTTCAAAATCAAATTCAAGCTTTATTTCCCCAAATTCAAAATAATTAGTGTACAAAATCTAAAAATCCACAAAAGCAAACTCAAGTTATGAGAGATATTATATACATATTTTGCAACTTTACCCAAGACTAAAGTCCCATAAATCTAGAATGACACACCCAAAAATCATCAAAATCAAAAGTTGGCTTCATCTTCATTCTAAGAACATTGTATAAAAGTATGAGAGTCCATAAAAGCAAACTTTTAGTTTTTATATGACATTTAAAATTTTTTGACTGTTTGACCAAAACTCTGACTGATACATTTAGAGTCCTGGTCAAACAAAAAATCTTCTGAATTGAGGAGGAATTTCATTTCTCCAATCTCCAAGTACATTGTATGTAGAAAATTTGTAAGGGGTTCTGCGGTACCCTGTGCTTTGCCTACGTTTGCTGCTGTCAATGTAAAAGTGTAATGTTGACTTAAAAAGTGAGTTTATCAGTAAAAATGTAAAATACAGAATTTAAAGAAAAAATTCAAAATTTTTCTTCAGATGCTATTTCTTGGTCTTGAAGATTAGCTTCTGTCAAATTTTCATAACAATCCATGAAGGTTTACAAACTTATCATGTAAAAAAAATTTAATCCCAGACTGTCTGTAAATGTTAACTGTAAAAAAAATAAGTCCATCTATCAGAAAAATAGTGAAAATGAAAATATATTTTCAAAAGTTTGCTTCAGACATTATCTCTGAATCATAAAAAAAGCTTCTGCCAAAGTTTCATAAAATTCTATGAAGGTTTGACAAAGTATTTGATGTGTTACATACTTTAACCCCAGACTGTATCTACTTGCTAACTATAAAAAAAACTAAGTCCATTTATCAGTAAATATTTTCTAAATTTTGCTCTGAATACTGTATTTTGGTCATTAACAAGATTCTGTCCAAATTTCATAAAATTCCATGAAGGTTTGATAAAGTTATTGACGTCTAAAAAAAACTTTAACAACAGACTGAACTAAATGTTGACACCGCCTACAGAATCTAGGATCGCTATGTCTCGCTTTCGCAACATAAATGTCACAGACTTGACAAAAATAAGAAAACCTGTATAGAGGGAAGCACTTAATTATTGTATAAAATGTTTAATAATGAGACTGTTTACTAATTTACTGAATTCATTAGGGTCATAATAAAAGAGGAGGATTTAACTTTCTGCAGTAAAATTATATAAATACCAAAATATCTTTAATAAACAGCTGCGCCATGAGCGCATGATACGCCCGTCGTCTTGTGTGTGAGGTTTTATGCAATAATCATAAATCGTTTCTGAGATACAGCGCGACATGTGAAAACCCCCTTTTTTAATAAAAAAAAAAATAACTCTAAAATAAAATTTTGAATCATCACCAAAAAGTATACAGATCTTTAGATAAATATAATTAAGAAGTGTGTAAAGTTTTAAGCAATAATCATAAATCGCTTTTGAGATACAGCGCGACATGTGAAAACCCCCCTTTTTTTACCAAAAACTCAAAAATTCAAAAACTCTAAAATAAAATTTTGAATCATCACCAAAAAGTATACAGATCTTTAGATTAATATAATTAAGAAGTGTGTAAAGTTTTAAGCAATAATCATAAATCTTTTTGAGATACGGCAAGACATGTGAAAAAAATATCCCCTATTTTAGTTACAAAGTCCCGTAACTCAAAAAGTTTTAATCTTATTTTCACTAAAAAGTATACAGATCGTTTGACCATCATAAGAAACAACTATGTTAAGTTTCATGAAATTTGGATAAGTCATTCTCAAGTTACGGTGCGACAGGTGGACGCCTGATTGCCAGACAGACGGACGCCAGACATTTGTATACCATAATACGTCCCGTCAAAATTTTGACGAGCGTACAAAAAATATGATTACCTCGCAAACTTTCTCTTCTTGGATTTGTCTGGAATTATTTAACCTGTAAATTTTCAGAATATATATTTATATATTAAACCAAATTTTAAACAGGATTATGGATCATACTTACAGATGGTATTCACTCAAAAAACAAATTAATTAATTGTCCAACAATTAAATATGTATCATGGCAATGAAGGTGTTCCTCAAAAACTGTGTATTACAACAAAACAGGAATATACTAGGAAAATATTATGTAGATACTACTAAAGTCATCTTACATATGAACCAAGTATGAAACATAACCAGTCCCATCTATTGCAGGTCAGACTGACCAAATGTTATAAGTCTTTTTAACATTCCAGAACTGCACATGTAATGATGCAGTGGCGGATCCAGAAATTTTCATAAGGGGGGCCCGCTGACTGCCTAAGAGGGGGCCTGCTCCAGTCATGCTTCAGTGATTCCCTATATAAACAACAAAATTTTTCCCACAAAAGGGGGGCCCAAGCCCCCTGAAAAACCCTCTAAATACGCCTCTAGTAGGTTAAAAGAGGATAGGTCTGTAGCATTACTTATGTGTACAAATTTTCTGAAGAATGTTTATAAAGTGACTGAACTGTTTCAAAAATAAATTTACTTTGAAAGCTTAAAGTAGAATTTGAGCACTTTTAATATGAAGTCTTGGTTTGGAATTAAATGTAGGTCACCATTTCTACAATGTCACTGCACTGTATAACCAATTTATACCAATAAAATCTTTACCTAAGGATTTACTATCATATACAACTTATCATGAAACATAACATAAACATGGATATATTGCCCCTTTTACTTCTTAAATTAATTCAAATGTATTCTTACACACAAAAAACAAACTTTAATGTATGAATTACCTCCCCTGAATTTATTATTTTTTTTCTTATCTTAAACTTTGACTTTAAAACAGCAATGAAAATGGTAAAATTTCCCATTAAATTCACATGTTTACAATGAAAATATGTAGCCTCTGCTCTTGTATAAAGACATTTGCCCTCCATTGCTTTGGCAATAAATACTTCTGTAGGAAAAACTTACATTTCCATATCCGTGGTAATCAACATTGTTTTCCACTGTCTTTCAAACATGGATAATTGCTGAAATTCATAACAATTAGTTGCATAATGCCATGAAACTTATACATGTCGTAAATTATATATTATGTTTATAGATAAATGAATCTGTATAGCTTGAAAAATCCATACTTCAACATTAACATTATCCCTATAATTGTTCTAGTACTCAATTCACCTTGGTATGTGTGCTTGTGATGTTGTTTTTTACCAGTCTACGCCTTTTGAAAGTCAGGAAAAGTGTGCTAATCAAATTGGTATGCTCCTTTGAGTCAACTTTTTTTAATTGCAGGAGCAGTACCATTATGTCTGACAAATGGTTGTTTCTTCTTACATTAATAAATTCCAAAAATAATTATCATATCTCTTTCTTTACAAGTGTCAGAAATATTACCTAAAACATAATACAGGTTTTGAATAAATTGCATAATTTTTCGAATTCTCTTTTAAGCATCAAAACTTCTTCCAAAGACAAAATACCTGATTTGAACTTGACATTATATTGAACAATTTAAATCATTTTCTTTCTATAAAAAAAATATTTGCTTCAGTTTTTCTATCAAATGGTTATTGGGAATCATTTATTTTTGATGGTATCAGTTTTGGTGGTTGAACAAAAAAATGCTATTTGGATGGGTTTTTTTTCCTGGTTTTGTTATACACTCCTATGAAAGTACTGTAAATTCAGAAATCATTGCGAGGTTTTTATAAATGCAAATAATACAACAGGGTGAGTATCCAATAATAAGAACTTGCAATCTGATTTAAGATACATATATCTGTATTAAGGTTTTCCTGAAATTGCAATAATTGATCTGGTATTTCTGTCCATTCTTCAAAAATAATAAGTGCTTGCAATAATTTCTGAATCTACAGCAACTAAAAGTTTGTAATTCGAGTATTTAAATTTGTGGTTTTCAGCAGTCCACTAAATCCACAAAAATTGGTATCTAACAAACATCAATGACTACACAGTATATGTATTAGAATTTAAAACTTTTTAGCCACTGAAACTGATTTATCTGAATAAGATATATATATATGGTTACAAGTTTCATGTGAAATTCTGAATGCCATATCATTTTCCACCAATAACATTTAAAAGTTTTATCTTTTATGTGTCATTGAAAAGACAATAAAATTACCAATGCATTCACGTAAAAAAGGGTGTAGGCAGTATGAGAGCTGTGAATTTTATTCGGCAAAACAACCCTACATAAACTCTTACCTCTGTTATCAATAGTTCAAGAGATGTAGGATCCACTTCATTGAAGATTTTATGAACAGCAGAGCTAACATCAACAACCTGTAAATATAGGAGTTGAGGAGAAAGCGATGCATTAATGTCCATCTTCTATCAAAATATGCAAAATAAATATGAAACTTTTACTATTTATTCAATATCCAAAATGAATTAATTATAACATGGACCAAAATCAGAATAAATATATACTCCAATGAATACTTATTCAGTCAACAACTAAAGCATCAGTTTCAAAGGAAAAAATTACCTAAAAAATTTACAATACCGTAAATTGGGTTATTTTGGTTGCAGTTTTATTTTGGTTTATTTGGTGCCTCCAATGAAGGTGCCAAAATTAAACACACGAAAATAAAGCAAACACTAAAAATTGAAACGCCAAAATCGCGGACCGGTACGACAATATCTTTCTGTTAATTGTTGTTGAATATATCTCATGCTATTATATCTTCTGTATATTTCCTATATTCTATACATAACCAAATCTGATTATAATTTGATAACAATATATATTTTTTTACTTAATTGTCAATTTTCTGAAATTGTTAAGAAAACACAACATGACTATGTATTCACACATGTCATAAATATGCCAGGCTATTGCTGATTAGATGCCGTTTTTGGTAATGAGAATATCTAAACCCTTTGTAATTCTTTTAATTAATTAACATGTACTGCCAGAGGCATACAGATTAAAATCTAAATCCTTGATCGTCAATCATTAACTTGTACTGCAATAGAGATAATGATTAAAATTTATTTCATATGATTTTGGTAAAAAATAAATAATCTATTTAAAATCACTTCCTTTAAGCTTTCAACCGGGAGATAACGGAATTATTTGCATTTGCATTCGTATCCGATTCCTTCATTTAGTCAACCTTGTCGTGTTTCTAGTTTATGTAGGTCATTAATATTTTGACAATAAATGCTAACGGGTAAATAAGAGCAAATATGAATGAGCTCGCACACTTCTATTGCTCCAAAATTAAACACACCAATTAGACGAAGCACCAAAATTACACACACCAAAATAAAACACATGCCTTTCGAGTGAAAACTGCCAAAATATCCCGACGCCAAAATTTCCCAATTTACGGTATTAATCTGGCTAAAAGAGTATAACTGTTTCAGTCTTAAAAATCTCTATTTTATTTAAATTATCTGACCATACGGATTTAAAATAATATAGATAACTGCATAATACTCACTTCATGTTTCATAGTGAAAAAACCTCCTCTGAAATGGATCAATACATAAATTTATCAACATTGTTACCTCTAATTTCATTCAAAATACCTTTTATTTTACATTTTATTGTTAAAGTTTATTTTACATTTTATCGTTAAAAGTTTTTTAGGATTATCTTAGTGTAACTATATAACTACAGAATTGTAAACTTGGTTTTCAATCATGGCCCATATATCAAGAATAGTAAAAATTGTTTCTCTAATTCTTCATCAATTTATCCCTTTCTGCACCCATTGTATAAAAAAATTTTAATCAACGTGTGGTTCGTTTGATCTCAGTTCTTCATTGGTTAAAATCTGATTATGACGTCAAATTTTCTTGCTTTCCTCTGAATTTCCTATTGTGACGGCATGAAAAAAGGCGACCATGCCTGATGACGTCACATAGAAAGAACACATCTTTTTGCAGATCATTCGAACAGAAGGAATAAATTTGCCTGTGTATTGTTTGAAAATCATTAGAGAAACAGATTCCACCACCAAATCTCGTGTAATACGATATTTATCCACTCTCGACAGTTAAATTTTAAATATTTAAAACGCTCGGCGAGCCTCGCGTTTTAAATTTGAAAATTTAACTGTCTCGAGTGGATAAATATCGTATCACACTCGATGCAGTGGTAGAATCTATATTTATCAAACATTTAACAATTTTAATAATTTGAAGAAAAAAATATGAATTACCCTGTGTATTCATCTAAAGCATATGCCTGTATGATTGGCCACTTTTCTACAACCATCTTGTCAAAGCTGTGTAAACTGCCTGGAAAAAATACTTCATCTGTTCTTTTATTTACTAGATGAGGTTTAATATCATTTATTTATACAATTTTGTGGCAGAAATATCTAATATCAGGGTTCAAGGCCAATCCATCAGCCTTTAGAAAATAACTAATAAAGAATTTTTGTTTAAGCATAGTTATGATTTAAACTGGTTAATTATAAACTTATGTTTTCAATTTATACAAATTAAATTTACCATGCTCTGTTGCTAAAAGTCTGAAAAGTAACAACATTATACCTGTGGTACTGTAAGGAATTCCAATCTTTCTACAATTGGTAACCATAGCAACAAAAGAATGAATTTTAAATTCCTCAGCTGCCTCTTCATCTTCATACTGAAAAAAAACAGCAAGTATTCAAATTCAAATTAAAACTTTTCTTGCCACACTTTAAAATAAATGATTTCAGAATCTTTCTTTTTAAAGAACTTGGACCGTAAATGTAAAGTCTGATGGTGCCAACAATTTTTTATTCCTTATTATTAGGCAGCAAAATATCATTGTATCTGCCAAAACCTTATTTTTATAAGATACAAAATGCTATCTTCACTTATTCATATGTTTAATATTCTGTTCATTAATTGAATGCTTCATAAAAAGTAAAATAACAAAAATACTGAACTCCGAGGAAAATTTTAATCAGAAAGTCCCTGATCAAATGGCAAAATCAAATACTCAAACACACCAAACGAATGGAAAACAACTGTCATATTCCTGACTTGGTACAGGCATTTCCTTATGTAGAAAATAGTGGATTAAACCTGGTTTTATAGCTAGCTAAACCTCTCACTTATATGACAGTCGCATAAAATTCCATTATGTTGACAACAATGTGTGAGCAAATCAAACAGACATAATAGGTAAAAATGTCAAAAATAAAGCCACTTAAGCTTATAACAGTTGTAGCATGGAAAGAGCAATACTCTGAAATATACTTTTTCTACAAAATACCAATCTACTGTATTTGTTATAAAATTAAAAGAGAGGCAAGGATACCAAAGGGACATTCAAATTAAATCTTTTGCAGAACCAACCACTGAATCTGTCATACAGTGAAATCTAATAGTTCTCCTTAGAACTCACCTCTGAATCTGTCATACTGTGAAATCTAATAGTTCTCCTTATAGCCCACCTCTGAATCTGTCATACAGTGAAATCTGATATTTCTCCTTAGAACTCACCTCTGAATGTGTCATACAGTGAAATCTAATATTTCTCCTTAGAACTCACCTCTGAATCTGTCATACAGTGAAATCTTATATTTCTCCTTAGAACTCACCTCTGAATCTGTCATACAGTGAAATCTTATATTTCTCCTTAGAACTCACCTCTGAATCTGTCATACAGTGAAATCTTATATTTCTCCTTAGAACTCACCTCTGAATCTGTCATACAGTGAAATCTTATATTACCTTAGAACTCACCTCTGAATCTGTCATACAGTGAAATCTTATATTTCTCCTTAGAACTCACCTCTGAATCTGTCATACAGTGAAATCTGATATTTCTCCTAAGAACTCACCTCTGAATCTGTCATACAGTGAAATCTGATATTTCTCCTTAGAACTCACCTCTGAATCTGTCATACAGTGAAATCTGATATTTCTCCTAAGAACTCACCTCTGAATCTGTCATACAGTGAAATCTTATATTTCTCCTTAGAACTCACCTCTGAATCTGTCGTACAGTGAAATCTTATATTTCTCCTTAGAACTCACCTCTGAATCTGTCATACAGTGAAATCTTATATTTCTCCTTAGAACTCACCTCTGAATCTGTCATACAGTGAAATCTTATGTTTCTCCTTAGAACTCACCTCTGAATCTGTCATACAGTGAAATCTGATATTTCTCCAATGACTAACATAAGGTAACAAATAATGGTAGTTGATTGGATTACAGTACACATGTACTTCATTTCTCTTGATCAGGATAATAATATCTAAAAATATAAAAGTAATCAAATGTTCAAATTTCCTTAATAAAAAAATTAAATGTATTCTTCTGACAACAGAAATCATACTAACAATAAAGCCTATGCCTACTACCTTAATAGTATCTCCAATTCCTACTATTATTCTTGTTACTTCAGAATAAGTCTAAACCATGAAATCAGGTATCATAAAAAAATACTATTTTCTTCAATCCTTCAAAAAAAAATTTTGGCGGTTTTTATTTTGGCGGATTCTTTAATCCCAATTAAATATTTTGGCGGATACTGAAATGGTTGCAGTTAAAAAGTTGTAAAATTGACAAACAAGGGTCTATTGTTATGGTAAAGTGATTGTTTTACCTGCATGACGTCTTATTTATTGTTTTATTTTGATACAGTTAATCAATAGAATACTGGTACATAGTTATTTGTCACAGGTGCACAAACTTCGTGTTAATGTTACGGTTGTTAAGTTATGAAATTGACCGGACCTTTGTTGTACTAATTAGAATATGAAATTATAATAAATGACTTGCAACTCTTATATAATTTTACACTAATTATTATTTAATAAGGATAAAATACCTGACAGGGTACCTTGCACTCTTCTATTATTATTTATTTAAGGAATGACTGTAATATTTTTTCTGTCTATGAAGAAATAACATCAAAAATGTGGTTCACACTGAATAACCCGCGTAGCGGGTTATTTTAAAGTGTGCACCACATTTTTTATGTTATTTCTTCATAGACAGAAAAAATATTACAGTCATTCCTTATAATTTAATTCTAAATTTCATTATAAACCGGAGTAAATCATGAAAAAACGTTGACGACGTAACGGTCACATGACAAAATTATGTCTATGAGCTGATAAACAAAACAACGTCAGCCAATCAGAAGACGCGTTACAGCCAAAATTAAATTATTTTATTATGCAACCAATAAACTAATCAACACCTTACAGTCAGTAAACAATGGCCTTTGGCATTGATGGTGTTTAAATTAACATAAACCGTTATTGATCCGTCGAACGGGAAAAATAAATAGTTTACAAAACGCTTTAGCTATCGAAAAAAAGTATCAAACGTTTGTATAAATTTTCGTGGAATTTATTTTCGCGATTTCCCCTGAACCGCCAAAATAAGCGAAAATAAACACCCCGCGAAAATAACCCGCTTTACGGTATTATCACAGTGATATGTCTCGCCTTTTTGTAAATTTTATTATGCAAATGTTGAAATTAAATTAGCAATACTTTAACATAAGTTTTGCAAATATTCAAAGTCAGTGAACCATGACTGAGGTACATGGCTGAACAATCTCCATGTAAATGAGATGTGCCAATGCTTATAAAACTGCATACCAAATACCATTGACTTATCATAAGTTGTTATCTTTAAACAAACATAAACACAAACATTAACTTGTAAACTATGTAAAGTTTCAAAGTCATTGAACCATGAAGAGAGGGTGGGGCTATATAATCTCCATGGAAACGATACTTGCAAATGCCAATAAATTTGCATACCAAATATCATTGACCTAACATTAGCAGTTCATCTTAAACTGATCTAATCACAAACTTATACATGTAAACTAAGCAAAAGTTTCAAAGTTGATAGACCATGACTGAGGGGGCGTGGCCAAATATTCTTCATGGAAATGAGATGTGCTAATGCTTATACAACTGAATACCAATTAACACTGGCCCACCACTAATGGTTACCCTTGAACTGACCTAATCACAAACTAATACATGTTAACTAAGCAAAATTTTCAAAGTCAATAGACCATGACTAAGGGGACGGAGCCAAATAATCTCCATGGAAATGAGATATGCCAATGCTTATACCACTGTATACCAAATATCATTGACCTACCACTAGTGGTTCCCCATAAACTGACCTAATCACAAACTAATACATGTTAAGTATGCAAAAGTTTCAAAGTCAATAGACCATGACTGAGGGGGCAGAGCCAAATAATCTCCATGGTAATGAGATGTGCCAATGCTAATACAACTGCATACCAAATATCATTGACTTACCACTAGTAGTTCACCATAAACTAGACTTAATTACAAACTAATACATTGATGACGACGCAGCCGCCGCCGGAAACAGCATACCTATGTCTCCCTTTTTTGACTCCGTCAAGGCTAGACAATAAAATGATATAAGACTTTCAACATTCTGCTACATGTAACATGTCTACTTATTTTCATACTTTTGATAGTACTGCTCTTTTCTTAAAACTGACACTTGTGACTAAAATTTATGAATTACATGTGGCCAAGGGTTAGAAATTATCTAAGTTAAAGTACATCATGGACAGGCATTTTTCATTTGCATGTGTTAATGTCCAACAAACACACCAACTACTTTGAATTTGGTGTAAGGGATTTATATTAAGACTATCTCTTTATAAATAAATAATCACAAATAAAATTTGCTGTAAGTACAGAGACAAAAGTAACATGATATACAGTAGTATTCTAAGATAGCTTCAAATTCAAATTTATTACCTTGCAGAAAAATAGTGCTTCTCTGCTTCTTACACCAAACTGAATTTCAAATGTACAGATAACTTATCATTGGAAAATATGCATTCCATTTCATTACATATTTTTTTTTTATTAACAAATTAATGAAAATTAGATGTACATGTATCATTGAAATGGTACTTCAGTAACTCCACAAGAAGAATATACATGTACAATCATAAGTTCAATCTTAAAAAAGAAATTTACCATCTATAATCTCCTCTTCAAATCCTGACCTGTAATATATAGTACAGTACAATTGTTAAAGTATTTATACATGTTACTAAAAAAGCATTCATATCATACAATATATTTTATTACATTTTCAACTGTTGTAGAATAACTAATCCAAGAATTCAAAAAATGAAAAATATTCAGAGTTCCCAAACAACACTGTACCTCATAAATACTTGTGAATGAATGCTAAGTGTGAATTCTCTGTTGTTTGGTCACAAGTTTTTTTTCATATTTGAATTCTTGGATAAGTCCAAGCTACTGATGCCTTCTTTGCATGTTTTTATTTTGTTCTTTTCTCTTTGATCAATGTGTGAATGTTAACTCTTGGTCATGCTCTTGTTTATGCCTTTCAGACCATGTTCTTTTCTCTTTAATCAATGTGTTAATGTTTACTCTTGGTCATTCTCTTGTTTATGCCTTTCAGACCATGTTCTTTTCTCTTTGATCAATGTGTGAATGTTAACTCTTGGTCATTCTCTTGTTTATGCCTTTCAGACCATGTTCTTTTCTCTTTAATCAATGTGTGAATGTTAACTCTTGGTCATTCTCTTGTTTATGCCTTTCAGACCATGTTCTTTTCTCTTTGATCAATGTGTGAATGTTAACTCTTGGTCATGCTCTTGTTTATGCCTTTCAGACCATGTTCTTTTCTCTTTAATCAATGTGTTAATGTTTACTCTTGGTCATGCTCTTGTTTATGCCTTTCAGACCATGTTCTTTTCTCTTTGATCAATGTTTGAATGTTTACTCTTGTTCATGCTCTTGTTTATGCCTTCAGACCAATGGCTTTTGATTAATCTTTGGTGTCAATTTCATAGTTAAAGCTGTTGTATACTGTATACTCCTTACTTTTGTAATTTGATGAGACTGTCGTACAAGTGAGAGGTTTAGCGCTATAAAACCAGGTTCAATCCACCATTTTCTACATAAGAAAATGCCTGTACCAAGTCAGGAATATGACAGGTTTTTTTTGTTACCAACCTTACAAACTATTATGGTCATGATAAAGAGTAGTAGTAGTTGATCTTTTGTTTATATATAATTATTTCTTCCAAGAATATCATAATGAGTTTTCTGTGTTTACACAACATTTCAATTCAAGTTAAAAAGAAATTGAAATGATCTAATTCTCTACATTCAAGGGTTGGCATGTATAATTCATAAAACATCCGTCATATGGAAGCTAAACTAAAATGTTGTTTGTATGCTGATTAAATGGGATGTATGGCTGTTAAAGCAATTGCCTTTCAGCTATCCACAGCTTATAATGCAAAAAATTATAAATACACTTAATTCTGTGCTAAAGATATAGTCAGCAACTATCTAAGTCTCTCTTGCAGTACTATGAATAAATCAATAAAGCTCATACTTTTCCAGTTCTTTCTTTCGTAGTTCAAAAAATCCAAAAAGAAGATAATTAAACAGCTCTGTAGTTCCTTCGTTGTATCTGCTATCAATGCCTTAAAGTAAAATAAAAAAAAACATGAAATGCAAAATAAATGTATAGTTAGTATAAAAAGAAGTTCCTAAGAGCCTGAATTGCTCACCTTCCAAAAATCTGGCAATTCAATATTCACTTGTTTGCAATCAAAAATTTTGTTTAAAAAAATTACTCATTTTCAAATATACAGCTTTTCAAGAGTATTTAAAATAAAGTTAAATCATTACATTATAATTTAAAACATAAGTATACAAAAATGTATATCTATAACAGCTAATAAGTAGTAAACATTAAAACTATCTTACCACTTATACATAAAATAGCATCAGCATCATCAGTACTTCTGTTGTGTAGTTGACTTTGTACCAGTCTCAATCTTCCTCCACTGAAGAAAAAAATGTGTGGAAATTACTGTGCTTATGCAAAAGGTTTTTTTCACTTTTACAATACCATTTGGACAATTTTTTTTCCATGTTGCAGGTTCATTTAATTTTTTTAAACTTATTAACTGGTTAAAATATTTTTCAGCATAGCTCAAATGCAAAACTGTTAGTATGAAACAAATGCAGAGTACCACATCGCCTTATTTTTATATTAATAAAATATAATCTTTACACATCCAATTCCAGTTATTGTCATTCCTTTTGTGACAAACTTTTCACTCATCTTACAAATAAGATATGTTTAGGTCAATATACTTATAAACAGATTGATTGATTGTTGGTGTTTAATGCCACTTTTGGGTTTTTATCTTTTATAAATAGCTTTCAAAAATGAAACCAACACTTTATAAATTTCCTGTGTCTAAGGCACTTTTCTGGATTTCCCTTCATCAGGAATGCTCAAAGCCAAATATTTGAAAGCCAAGGATGTATGAGGACTGAAACAGTTGAAAAGTTATATGACCAAAATGGACTAAATATGATAGCAAATTACAAAAAAGGTCAACTTTGCCTGAGGTAGTTGAAACTTTAGTTTCTTAATAGTTTCTATATTTTTAAACAAAAAATTTTTATAATGGGTTAAAATTGTGATAGTGGTACCGATAGATTTGATGATTTCAATCACATTGGCTCGTTTGATGATTTCAATCACATTGGCTTGTTTGATGATTTCAATCACATTGGCTCGTTTGATGATTTCAATCACATTGGCTCATTTGATGATTTCGATCACATTGGCACATTTGATGATTTTAATCACATTGGCTCATTTGATGATTTCAATCTAATTGGCTCATTTGATGATTTTAATCTAATTGGCTCATTTGATGATTTTAATCTAATTGGCTCATTTGATTATTTCAATCACATTGGCTCATTTGATGATTTCAATCACATTGGCTCATTCGATGATCTAGCTGATCATTTTTGCTTTCAAATTTTCAGTTATATATTGTTTAGTTTTTAATTTACAAGATAGAAACACTTAGAGTAACTCACCATTACATGTAAATCAGATTTTTTAAAAATTTCAAATGATTATTCTTTCATGACAACATAAATGCCATATTGTGATATTAACACATCTTATATAAGACAAATCTAAATTTGCTGAATAATATTTATTGAGCTTTGCCAAGAGTTTCTTGTGTGGCAGAGTAATGAATACCTTTGAAAAGTCTAGTACGGCCATGTCAAGTTGAATGGTTGTAACTTTTCAACAGTAGGTTTATTGTTCAAAATGTAAACATAAAAAAGATAAAAGGTACAACACTGGGGGGATACCCAGTTAAGAAATTTTATTTTTCGCACTATCAAATGATTACTCAAATGAGGGATTGTTACTCATTTGTGGAATAGTTCCTAATTTAGGCGGGTTGTTCCCAACCTGTTTGGAAATATCTTGATCCTGAAATGGACACATTATTTTTAAAAGAATTCAGGATTTGACATTTATTTTCTCAGTTCTTACCCTCTTACCCTCCTACAGAATTTCCAAAGGTTTTTTGGACCTCTGTGGTCTTGTGGTCCAGTATTTATTCGACCATTAGGTCCAGTCAGTGTTTTAGGATAATCCTATAATATAAGACTTCGTAGAATCATATTGTTTGCATTCAACGTTTTTCATCAGATATTTTTTTTTTATATCAATGCTGAACCACAAAGTCTTATTGGAAGTAGCTATTTTCTCGTAGCAATTTTTAAAATTAATCTGTCAAAACTAATAAAACTAATAGCAAAGGCCTTAAAATGAATGAAAAGAATTTATTTCGCAAAATTATGTTCCTAATCCATCCTTTTTTATCCTAAGTTGACAAAAAATTTTCATCTAGCCATTTGACTTCAAAACATATGCCAATTCTATATTTTTAAGAATGCGTGAATAAAACGAATTTGACGGTAATATTTAAAGTCAGTTTTGTACAATTTAGGATGATTGATTGTTGGTTGCTGAAGGGCATACAATACAGTTTTGATCCCCAGTGATTTTTTTACGAAAATTTGCATACATGTACAAGCTATTTTTCACTAAGTTAATTCAAGTATGTAATAAAAAATATACCTTTGTGTGCTAAGTTCAGAGATTAATGGGGTAGAAATTTTAGACATTTACTTAAAATTTTGGTTTCTTGTATATTTCTATCCTTTGGACTGACATACTTAACTTTTTTGTTTCAAAAGATAAACACATGCAGATTTTTGTAAAACGATTTGGAATATCTTCTTTACAAAAATATGTTCTTAATTTTATCCTGCAATCAGCTAACTATTGTATAAATAACATGTACACAAATAAATTATTGCTTTATTTGTACTTGTACAAATAAAGTCTACTGTTACCCCGCTTCCATGTTGAGCAAGCGGTAATGTGGATATATCTTTTTGCGTACCAGTTCATTTTGGGGTCCTCTTCGCGGTCCGCGTTTAAACTATGTCGATTTCTTTGAATAATTAGAGACAATGATTTAGATTTTAACAACTAAAGTTTCAAGTTGTAGGTGTAAATTTCAGGATAAAAACAATATATGTACATTGTCGGAAAATATAAAATTTATTTGAACTCGCTACGAAACAGGAGAAAAGCTCGGCGAGCCTCGCTTTTCGTCCTGTTTCTAAAGCTCATACAAATAAATTCTATATTTTCCGACAATGTACATATATTGTATATTTAAAAAAATTCATCTGCGATTTTTTCATAAAAATTGGAACAAATAATCATCATACAGTATCAAGTCATTTGCTATTTTAAAAAAGAGGGGTCCATGTACTTGTTTTCAAGCTAATGATTAAAATCCATTGATTTCCCGATAAGTTGCAGTTTGACGTTGCGACAAATAACATATTACGTTAGCAATGTCATTACCTCCCCTGTTACTGTATCGTATGCCCTTAAGGGGAGATAATGACGTTAACGTAAAATGTTATTTTTCACGAAGTCAAACTGTGACATATCAGGCAAATATGCATTTTTCGACTGATTTGTATCATTCAGACTGATTTTACTTGAAAACGAGTTTGTGGACCACTCTTTTTTAAAATAGCATTAGGTTAGATTACGTATGAAGATTATTTGTACCAATTTTTATGAAAAAGTCACCGATTGAATTTTAAAATCAGATAATTATACAGCAAAATGACCCTTTTTCTAAAATCATGAAACTTTGATAAAAAATAATTATTTCTAAAATATTGTTATACAAATTTAGAGCATACTTATATAAAGAAGATTTTTCAACTGTTTTTACAAAAATCTGCTTGTGTTTATCTTTTGAAACAAAAAAGTTATGTATGTCTATCCAAAGGATAGAAATGTCCAAAAAAACGAAATTTTGAGTAAATGTCTCAAATTTAGACCCCATTTATCTCTTAACTTAGCACATGAAGGTATATTTTTTATAACATATTTGAATTGACTGGGTAAAAAATAGCTTGTATGCAAATCTTTGTATAAAATTCACAGTTGGATCAAAATTGTATTGTATGCCCTTAACGTCCAGTGGCAAATATTCATGAATGTTGAGGACGAGAACAAATTAACAATTCAAAATGATGATATAATGGGTAGGTTCTGTAATAATGGTCGACTTGGATTCAGGTAGGGAAATTTTGGACTGCCACTGAAAAATGGCAAATGGAATGAGGGTACATTGGATAGGTGTGGTGTTCTCTCTACACGAGGTATCAAAATAACGTCCCTAACCGGACGTGGCTGCATACTTATACATCCTGCACAGCCAAGCGGACGTCCCACTTGAGCAAGGGTTTTACAGATGCTGACCGGAAGAAGACTGAAGTGACAACATTTCTATTCACTAGTCACACTTGGGGAATACAACATAGGAAAACATGAGCTATCCGACATTGAAACATATACACTGCATCAATAAAATAATAAATGAAATCTTCGCAAAAAATAATTTCAGTTATTTATTTTTATCCATGGAACCAAATGCAACTTTTGGTTTTAGTTCTCAAGTGAATTAGAATTTACTGGTCGTCCCATTATAAAATAAACAAGAGTGCACACGCTGAAATGTCTCGCCTTCTTTACTATCCATTGATATTATGTTGATAGTCCTAAATGAAAGCTTTACTACAACTATTACATAAACTTAACATGATCCAAGAAAATGAAGTCAAGGTCATATAAACCAAACGAGAAATACATGAACACCTTACAATCATTCAATACACTAAATATAGTTGAACTATTGCTTATAGTTTCAAAGAAACAGACTAAACCAAGAAAACTAAACATTGACTAATGAATCGTGAAAATGAGGTCAAAGTCAGATGACACCTGCCAGTTGGACATGTACACCTTACAATCATTCCATACACCAAATATAGTAGACCTATTGCATAAAGTATAAGAAAAACGGACCAAAACACAAAAACTTAACTATAACCACTGAACCATGAAAATGAGGTCAAGGTCAGATGACACCTGCCAGTTGGACATGTACACCTTACAATCCTTCTATACACCAAATATACTAGACCTATTGCTTATAGTATCTGAGATATGGACTAGACCACCAAAACTTAACCTTGTTCACTGATCCATGAAATGAGGTCGAGGTCAAGTGAAAACTGTCTGACGGGCATGAGGACCTTGCAAGGTACTCACATACCAAATATAATTATCCTATTACTCATAATAAGAGAGAAATTAACATTACAAAAAATCTCAACTTTTTTTTCAAGTAGTCACTGAACCATGAAAATGAGGTCAAGGACAATGGACATGTGACAGACGGAAACTTCGTAACATAAGGCATCTATATACAAAGTATGAAGCATTCAGGTCTTCCACCTTCCAATATATAAAGCTTTTAAGAAGTTAGATAACGCCGCCGCCGCCCCCGCTGCCAGATCACTATCCCTATGTCAAGCTTTCTGCGACAAAAGTCGCAGGCTCGACAAAAATGAATTAGTTTTTTAAATTAGCATTTGTTATAACAGAGAAGCAAAATATACAAAAAGGGCAATCAAACTCATGGCAAAAGAAATGAAAAACGACAGCAAGACAAACAGCAGTCCACAGAAGAAACATTGAAACTGAAGCAAGACGAACCCCACAAAAAAAAAAAAACAGGGGGGGATATTATAAATTGTGATTTCAAGAATGGTAACGACAATTACATTTAAAGTGTTTACGAGTGAATGAGAATTGGCACACTCATACCAGTTGTATGAACTTGTATTTTGTGAGACTTGTATCATCTCGCCAGCTTTGTTTGATAACTGGAAATTAATTTCTGATGCTTAACAACTTAGACAAGAAAAATTTTGGTGAATGAAGATTGGCTCTCTCACTACTGTTACCAGTATATGAAAACGTTTTTGCAAAGGTATTTATCAGCCTACCCCCTCTCATGGCAATGAATTGTTGTTAATGTTTAACAACTCCTGGGGTATTTCACTTGGATAAAGAAAAGATAGATAGGTTTTAAAAAAGGTTGGCTACTTGAATTATTACCATTACTAATTTCAATCTCCTTAATGGTAACTCTATGCAGATGAGACAATTGGGTTTCGATTCGTTGTTTGTTACTGTTAACTTTATTTATGGATTTTGGACGATCTGAAGCTTGCAATATTCCTGTGTAATATAGTGTTTCCTGCAGCTTTTGAAAAGGGCAGGGTAATTTTTTTCTCAGAGGGCACTCTGAACGCGATAGGCTACACTATACAGGCATCCTTTGTGTGGACGACTACTCTTTTAGGGCACTATATACATAGATATAAAGGCACTGTTATGGATAGTGATATAATTGAAATATACCATTGTTTCATATTTATTGGTAAGAAATAAAAAGGTGTATACTACATGTATATTAGGTTATTAATTTAATTCCTTTTTGTAATAAAATTATCACTTCTAGACTCAGCTAATAGATACTAGATAGTGCAACTGCCTTGTTTCAATCAATAACTCCAGTTACAATGTATAAATATTAATACTGGATTGCTGAGGCTGATTGTCTAAGGATGTGTTGTGAAAGTGGACTTTGTATTTGACCAAGTGCATATGCATTGCATTGTTTTTTAGCTGCACTTAAGAATAAGTGCAAACTACTTTTTGGATCTCAAATGCCCAGTTTACAACAATCAAAGCTACCTAGGCTCTAACTGTACAAAACGTTTTAGGCTATCCAAGGATTTGTATAGCAAGACTTTTTCCAAATTTATAACCTGTGGTCTTCTTTGTTTTTTTCTAAAAATTTTATTGAAATGTTGAAGTTGTTGATTTTTCGTACAAATCAAAGCTGTATCAGCTATATTCTTAACTTTTATTAATTTTTTCTAGATAATGTTAGCCTCTGCCAACCAAATAGTATAAATAGAAAATGTAATCGCGGTGGCAATGTTCATCCTATGGATCATAAAATTATAACTCAAACGATCGCCTGGTTCCCTCTTAAATTGTCTACATTTTAAATTCATAGAGGTACAAATCGATGTTGTCCTTATTAGATTCAATCATTAAACGGTATTTGTACTCTGTCGCCTCAAAACTGTTCAAACATAATTAGGATATTAATAAAATGTCGGCCATTAAAATTTTAATTTCTTTCCTAGGGAAATAACTCGAAATGGTCTAACGAAAAGATAATAACGGCGGGGTGTTATTAAATATGACGGAAAAGGGCATGGCGCCAAATTTTTTTCTTAAAAAGGGCAGGGTGTCAAGAAAAAAACGGCAGGGCGCCATACCACGCCAAAACCTCCTGTAGGAAACACTATAATGTCAAATTGTCTGTTTCTCTTATAAAATATTTTTGTTGTTGGATTGTTGTCTCACTGAAGCTCATTTATTACGTGTTCTTGCAATTATCTTTCAAGATTCAAGCTTTTTTAGGCGATGTCAGTAGAAAAAAAGAGTGGATGGGCTTAAAATACTGATATTGTTAGATCATAAATACGTTAAGTCTTTAAATATATATAAATAAGATAAAAAGAAAAGGAGCTCTTAAAGTGCCTGTGTCATGGCCCAGACTGAAATATTGTAATCACTGTCTGTTATTTGAAAACTTTTTGAAAAATATTTTGTGTTTAGTGCATAGATTGGCAGGATTCTGTATATTGATTTGGGTAATTCAGGTAATCATGGTAATATCCTACATGAAATATTGGTAACAAGACATTTCGGCACCCAGACAAATCGGCACCCAAGTCCGAAGACATTTTGGTATCCATTTTGGACATTTCGGGATCTGGACATTTCGGGACCAAGACAATTCGGCACCTCTTTTTTAAAAATATATATTAGGAAAAATTAAAGAATTGTTGCAGTAATATTATAATTCGTAGGTAAAATTTGCATTACAAAAAAAATAATCATCATTTAATTAAACCCTAAATGATTATGTATGTATGAATAAACATCATTTAATTAAATCATAATTGATTGTTAGATATGTTGTTGTTTGAATAAACATCATTTAATTAAATCATAATTAATTGTAGTTAAGCATTAATCAGTATTTTATGTATAAATCTGATAATTCCTCAATAGAGATCAAAAGTGTATAGCTTGTGTTTGCAGCTTGTGTTCTCTTGATCCTTACATCTGTTTAGACAACACAATACCTGAAAACTATATTTTATTGTTTTAATATTAAAAGCCATAAACATAACAGCGTGTGCAAGCCATAATGAGTAAATACCCAGGAACATATATAAGGGTAAACACTTTTGGTATTCTTTTTCTTACACAATGTCAGACGACAGTTGTATACAGTGCCACAATGTTGTGCGCCCCAGACAAGAAGCTTTGATTTGTATAAAATGTAGTATGAAAAGTTTCTGCAGTATTTATTGAATAAGTCCTAGAAACTGTTTTTGATTTATTACTTTACATAGACCCTTGAACTGTGCATTACTGCATAATACGTACAGCCAAATAGATTTAACTTTTCCTAATAAAAATTAAAAAAAGGTGTATCGTCTCAATTGAAATATTGAATCAATTCTGTTCATATCCTTTAGACCATATTATTCATGTATACAATTATTTCCAGTATTTCCTGTTTTTTCATAGCACAGATACTTTATTTTCCATCTAGGGCAAAATTAGTACATGTATGTAAGCAAATGTTGATATCAGGACAGAATATTCATTTCTATAATCATCCTATACCTCCCTTTTTATGAATACTTTATGATCGCCTTCTTAGTATAAAGAACACTTGATGATTGGCTTGCTCACTATATCATGAAGAAATCAGAAATAAGTCTTTTCACCAGTCGTTACAATCCAAAACGCAACAAAAAATCGTTTTCCAAGGAGTATTCTGAAATATAATTCATTCGGAAAGACTTCTGAATGTCTCGTACGTGATCTGCTTGACAATTTGAGAGGAGGGGGGAACAGTCAGAAAAGTGTTTCAAAATACAAAATGTAGGATAAACCTCCACCATCTGATAAAGTGAAACATTGTTTTTAATATTTTAGACGTTTATCTTTAATAATAATGACAGAAGTAAACTAATACTGTTGAAAACTGTCAAATGGCCATTCAAAGTTTAAATCCCACAAAAATTTCGTTGGGAACTTCCTACAAGAAAATTGCTACTTCTGATAAGACTTCGTGGTTCAGCTTTGATAGTAAAATGTATCTTTTATGCATATTAAAAAGCAAATTCAAATGAAACATATTTTTAATTATAAATAAAACTGAGATACATACATACATGTAAGTGAATCTACTTGTATGGTAGACTAATTTATAACAAAAAGGTCCATGTAAATATGCCTTGCATGACACTTTTATTGTTTATTTATATGTGCTGTACATATGTTGGAAAAAGAACATTTTTGTTTTATCCTTTTAAATTTTAAAGTTAAGGCAAAACTCCATACATATTTGGAGGTGCTCCTAATTAAAGGAGGCTGATACTAAGAAGAAGAAGTAAAAAATAAATATCCGATGAAAAACCTTGAATGCAAACGATATGAAACTACAAAGTCTTATTTTATAGGACTATGTTTTAGGAGTCTTTTCATTGGACCACATCATTTATTACTGGACATTGCCACATATCTGACGGACCATGGGAATGACTGCTCCTAACAGTATTAATCTTTTCATTTTTTTCTCAAATTTTACTTTTCAGTGGCAGTGTATCAATTCCATTCAAAAATATGCACTTAATTGCTATTCTAATTTTAGTGCAAAGTTGCTACCTAACAAATGGAGAGAATGTTTCTATCTGGATATTGCGTCTAGCTGAAGATGGACGCTTTCGAGTTCTTGAGGTCATTTTACTGCGTTCTGTTTCAGCTTTCAGCCGCCATTGTAAAACATTCACTTAGGGACCGCTTATATTACGCAAAATAAAGTAAAATAAAATTGTTTGAAACGATTTATGATGCAAAATAATTTATTTATTTCATCTGATCTCATTAAATTTTGTGATTTCATGAACATACTTTCGTTAGAATTCCATAATCTTACTGTTGTTGTTTGTTTTAAATGATGTAAGGGGTTTGTCCTATTTTATTAACAAAATTTCCTCCAGTCTAGGAGTACCGCTATCCTGGAGGATATTTATTGTGATGGAATTATTCGTTAACCTCCAGTGGCAAATGATTAAAAACATATTCAGGACGAGAACATGTATAATAACGAATATGAATCCTGCTTTGTACTAGCCCGACACACCTAGTTGCAATGGGCATTTAATTAGATCAAGGATTTGTATAGTAAGACTTACTATAGTACAAATCCTTGATTAGACCCATCAATTCAAGTTTATTTCAAGGGTTCAAAATCATGACTAGTATGATTGGTTGGACAAATTAACATTTACAAAAGTGTTGCTAATTTTGCACCTCAGAGTCATATATGAGGGTAGTAATGCCCTTTACCGTCAGGCGTTAAACGACCATTTTCGGCTACCGTTAGCGTCAAATTGGTTAAAATTTTACCGTGATTCGTCAAAATATCCTTATCGTGATTCGTCAGAGGTCTCAAATAACTATCGTTACCGTTATTTTTGAAAAAAAATTTAACGTGATTCGTCAAAATCAGTCGATTTTTTTATCGTCTAAAATAAAGTGTACATTTTAACGTCATGCACCAAAAATTACCGTTAACGTCAATTTGCAATAATTTTTACCGTTATTCGTCATGAAGGTACCCTCATTACGACCCTCATATATGTGTTACAAGGGAAACTAGAGTTACCATCCGGAAATTATTTTTCCAAAGTGTTTCTATCATAAGACGGTAACAGTGAAATTGATGTTTTGACCAATTCACCCAAAAAAACAAAAGGCTTTTACCAATTCCCTATATCTTCTATCTGGATAAATTTCATTCAAATCAAGCAAACGACATATCTAATTATTTTTTTTTACAAACTCAGTTCATTGTTCAATTATGCTGATGTTATATACAAAACGCCAATTTAACGGAATACATATATTATTGCATAAGTTTATTTTGGACTGTGGACTGGTCGTATCAGAAGAGAAATTATAATGTTATTTTTACTTTTGTTAACTGTTGCGTTTTCTAATAAATTAGCCATTCGTCCATAACTTTTTTTTTTTTTTTTTTTCATCAAATATATTGCGTTTCCGATGAATTTGACACGGTGCATCGCAAGCGTATTTGGCTGGCATTTTGAAAGAAGGCATTTCATTTTCATTATAAGATTGTGTGAAAGTTACACTTGTCTACTGTCGTTGTTTCTATAAATTTTAACCACAACAGCTAAAAAAGGAACAACAGAATTAATCAAAATATATCAATATTTTGATATCAGTGAATCGAACTTAGACACAACAATAGTCAAAATAGTCAAAAGAATATGCTAAACGGTAACAATATGGCATCCTTTTTAGTGTAATAATCGGTAATATTTGAGAAATTAAGTCATCATGTAATATTTGCCAATGGACGTTAAACACCAATCCATCTCAATCGAATGTACAACGAATTCAAAGTAAACCGACATAGAATATTTCACAAGAGTGACAATAACAGAACCTTGTAAAATCGTTAATACGACTAAAGTGGTGGATGGTAAATTAAATATTCACTTTATTGACAAATACTATGAAATTAGAATATCAAGTTTTGAAATCGAACAATGCTTTTGTCGTTTGATATAATCTTTTCCCTATTGCATAAATTTAAAGCTAAAACACAATTTGACAGGCTATTTAATGCCCCCAAAAATATACGTTTTAGAAAAAAGCGGTAAGAATATTTAAACTGATTTTTTTTCTAAAAAAATCAACTAAGCATAGTAACTTATGTTCAATCTTCTTTTCTTTTTCTGTCTTTCTCTTCAGTATATCTCTAGATCGTACAACGATAAAACAAAACGAAACTCTATCTTCAAACTTGCGGCGTAGTGCTATAAATCTTGTGTGCATATATCTTCTTAATTGGTTCTACGCTCAAAAATTAGTTGATTAAAGTAATTTTTGTTTTATGTTTTGTTCATTTTGAACAAAGTTAATCACAAATATCATATCTGGGTACTTTAAGATGTATAGGGCCATCTAGACTGACACGTCGTGTAGGGAAGTATCGCAATCTCTGTACCCAATCTGATTAAAATTCAAATCTATAACAACTCGCGTGGTCGTATATATAAGGATAACGAAATCAGAGATCTATATTTTAATTAGATTGTCTCTGTGCCTTAAAACACCCTTGCAACACAGAACTCTTTGAAGCCGGTCCGTTGGTGGCCCGTTGTAATGCAAATTTCTGCTCCTCTTAGGATTTCATATTTCTCCACCGCTTTCCATCCTAGTCGTACCACTTTGCGATACAAGATAGGCAAAGCAAATTTGTAATTTTAGATAACCTTTGTTTGAAGGTTTAAAAATTTGAGTATGAAAAGGAGGGAAGCAACACTTATGCTGTATAATTCTACATTTTCCCGTAACTGTGTGCATCACAATTAACTAGAGTCTCCAATGAGCCCGAATCGCTCACCTGTCAATTTTGCATAAATTGATAGAATACAATGAGAATATTTCAAATAGTTTCTAGCAAAAATTTCATATCTTCCTTAACTCCTTTAATGTATCAACTGACAAACTCCTATAATGTATCAACTGACAACCTCCTATAATGTATCAACTGACAAACTCCTATAATGTATCAACTGACAAACTCCTATAATGTATCAACTGACAATTTCGGCCATGTTCCCTTAAAGGAAGACCTTGTCCTGCTGGTCATTTGTGCAAAATACAGTTTCATCTACTAAAATTTTAACAAAAAAAAAACAAAAATGCCGGGTAAAAAGGGGTCTTTCAAGGGTGACTGTCGATTTCGGTCATGATGAATTATTTGTAGATCTTGTGCTGTTGATCAATTTTGATGGTCGCACTTTCCATCTATCTACCATAGTTTCTTTTAAAAAAATCCGCAAAATTGGGTAAAGAATCGTCTTTCACGGACATTTATCTCATTTAAAGATAATAGCTAAAATTGCAAGAACAAAAATGATGAAAATCGTGATTTAAGGACAATAACTCCTATAAAGAGTCATCTGATAGTTTTGGTCTTATTGATTGGTAGGTAAATCTTGACATTTTGAACATGCCTGCCTTTGTCAGATTTTCGCTTCAGCAACAGTTTACAAGATAATAGACAATACTTGCATTTAACCACTATGTTCTATATTTAGCCTTGTCCGCCATGATGTTTGGCATGCGGGATCATCGGTAACATTTTTTAAATTTGATACCTTAAGTATGATTGTGGCCCAGTTTGGTTCCATTTGGCCCATGCAATAGTTTCAGAGGAGAAGATTTTAGTAAAAAAAATACGGACAACAGACAACGACGACAGACGTCAAGTGATGGCAAAAGCTCACACAAGCCCTTTGGACCAGGTATCTAAAATCACAATTTGCAAAATTATATATACGCTATCTAATCAAGATACAGGCATGCGTTTTCGCTGTACTTATATAAGCTTCGGATAATAAGCGAGTTACAATCGATCTGAATTTCAATTAAAAGAGCTTTGTCTAGAGTATGCATGATACGATCACAAATGGAAAACTGATTATCACGTGACTGTGTAATATGGTTTGATCAGAATATTTTAAGCTAAATCATATTGATATTTGCATTCACAGTATTTTTTAAATTGTGTAGATCTTATGACGACTGAAAACACCTAAGTCAATTTATAAATAAAACACTTTGTTTCAGATGTTATCTTTTAATTGGGGAGAATTAAGCTTTAATCTTTATACCTAATTGTTAACAGAAATAAACTGCCGTTGGTTCCTGTTGTGAATTGTATTCCATATTGGCACGTCTACACCTTATATAGATTTCTGTATTAATGAATGACGTTGGCAAAGGCTCGACTCATCGGTTCTAAGCACGCAAAACCTTAACAAAATGAAAAAAAAACCTACAAGATACCGACGATCTAAGCTGCGTTCTGGCAGTTATTGAAAGCTACTTCAAAGCCAATTCCAGCTATTAAATAAATCATGTTTCCCAGAGTAAAATTTCCACATGTACACATCCAATGGATTAAGTGTTAAGGTGTTATAAATAGTCTGAGAAAAGCGTTAAGCTCATTTTTCAGTAAAATACGTAAATTTTGATGCAAATAGTATCTCTTATTTATGAAGTAGCTTTACAAAGTATAAAAAAATAACTTGAATGTTTGGCAAAGTTATTGATGGCTTTAAAAACAACTTTAACCACACGCTGAATCTAATTGTTAGCTGCAGAAAAGACAGGTCAGTTTATCAGTAAATTACGGGGAAAAAAAGACGGAAACTTTTTTTTATTTATTTCATTTTTTCTCTTTTAATGCTATCTGTTGATCACGTAGAAGCTCCTGTCCATGTATTTTTTTTGTGAAATTCCATAAATTTAATGTTTGACCGTTATTGATGTCTAACAAAAAAGATTAACGGTTGATTACAGTTAACCTAAAAGTTCAGGACGCTGATGACGAAGGAATCTTTGACCTTTTAAGACAAACAGGTAGATAAATCAAATGTAATCACACGCACATACAGTTTCTGACCATTATAGTTATAATCTGGCTAACCAGATTTATATCTTTCAAGTTTTATGTATTTCCTGTCTATATGCCGTTTGCTGAAAAATCCTGTATAACATATTAATCCATTCTGGCATTTCAGAAAAAAAGCTGGGAAACTGAGAATTGGAGGCATTTTTATTCCCAAGAGCCACAACTTCGACAAAATTCGCATAACCTAAACAAGAATCAAACTCTAGCTGTAAGTTCTTATGATATATAACTGGATACAAAAATTAAATATCTAATTAATTAATTCAG